TGGGCAAGAGCCACAGGTGCCCAGCACCACCGTCTGTTTTTGGGGGGAGGCTCTGGCAATCCAGTTTTGGTTCCTGTCTAACTTTATCTTAGTACTCATTGGTGCTCTCTTTAGCCCTCCCTCCTTCCCTCCTCTCCTGTCTCTTGTTAAGCATGTTTCTATACTTAATTTCAATGAGGTCCACTTTTTTTTTTTTTTTCTAGTATTTCAAATATCTGGTGGCTTAATCTTGAGCCAAGCCTGCAGGTCTCGGTTTTTGCTGGTCCCTCAGATTTGTCTGGCTGGGCTGGCTCCAAACCATAATCCTCAGATCACAGCCTCCTGAGTAGCTAATATTGGTTTGAGCCACCAGTGCTGAGCTAAGATCCATATTCTGTTTTGCAGGGGAACAGCCAATCATGTAATGATTTAAACATAACTGATGATAGCACAGAAGGACTGAGAGCTTTCTGCGTAACTGAGCTTTTAATGCAAATGTTTTCATTTTTGAACTTACTTTTGATTGTGTTTACTTAGTATATTTTTGGGGCTTGGTCGAAACCACCTGCAGTACACCTGTGAATAAGGCAGGCTCACTGTTACACGTAGGTTTTATTTTTAGTTTGATCTTGGGGTTTTCTCCTTGCTTGGCTGGTGCTCTACCACTTGAGCCACACCTTCAACCCAACTATTTGCTGGGTATTTTGAAGGTGGAGTCTCATGGAATTTTCTGCCTGGCTGGGCTTCAAACTTCAATCCTCTGGGATTCAGCCTCCAGAGTAGCTAGAATTAGCGTGAGCCACTCAACTGGCTTCACTGTTTTATGAAAAAGAAAACTAAAACCAAGTGGACAAGTGGAGAATGGCAGCTAATATACACTTCGTTTCTGCCTAGGATGAAGAAAGTATTGTATAAATGATTGTGAGGGTGGTTTCACAGTCCTGTGAATGTACCAAAACCCATGAGATTGTATATTTTACATGGGTGACTTCTATGTTAAATTGTATAAATGTCTCAATAAATGTTTAAAGAGGTAAAATTTTTTAAATCAAATAATACTAAAAAATTTATCACCAAATATATGTGTTCAGCCCCTCCTACATGCTTCAAGTGGGCAACTTTTACCCATCGAGCAAATTCTTCTGGTCTTTGCCTCTGTATCTCTCAGTAACATGCCTCAGTTACTCCTCTCTCCTTTTCTCAGTGTGGGAATAGAATCCATTCCTCACACTTGCTAAACAAGCTTGTACCCCAACCCAGCTCTTACTCTTTACTCTTGATACTTTAGCTGGACACAAAATTCTCGTTTAAAAAAAAATCATTTTTAGCCGGGCGCTGGTGGCTCACACCTGTAACCCTAGCTACTCAGGAGGCTGAGATCAAAGCCACCCCGGCCAGGAAAGTCTGTGAGACTCTTATCTCCAGTAAACCACTAGACAACCAGAAGTGGCACTGTGGCTCAAGTGGTAGAGCGATGGCCTTGAGCTGAAGAGCTGAGGGACAGCGCCCAGGCCCAGAGTTCAAGCCCCACAACTGACCAAAAAAAAAAAAAAAAAAAATCATTTACCTTTGAAAGGCACAGGGCTATTGCTCCATTTTCTTCTAGGATCTAGTTTTGCTTTTGAGCGAGTTAGTGACCCTCTTGGTCCCATGTCTTCATGTGTAACCTAGTTTCCCCCTCTGGAAGCCTCTACAGCCTTTTTATTTCTCATACTTTGAAGTTTTATACAGATTATTTTTTCCTTTAACTGATGCAAAAATCATACAAATTGCCAAGTGTTGGTGGTTCAGACCTGTAACCCTAGCTCTTCAGGAGGCTAAGACCCAAAGGATTGAGGTTCAAGCCAGCCAGCCCTGAAAACTCTCTGAGATGTCATCTCCAATTAACTAGCAAAATGCTGAACTGGAGGTGGCTCAAATGGTGGAGCACCAGCCATGAGTGAAAAGGCTGAGCAGTAGCTCTAGGTCCTGCATTTAAGCCCTGGTATTAGGACAAAGAGAAAAGAAGATTGCAGTGCACATGATATTTCAATACATGTGCAATGTTTATATTGGGCTACACATATCTACTACCATTTTCCTTCCTTTAAAATGAATAGATTGAGAATACTTTAAATTTAGAATTTACATTTAAAATGTTAAAAATAGGCAGTAGTCACCCTGCTGTGCTGTAATGCTCTGGAGCTTCTAGCTCCTGTATAGTTAATATAATTAGCACTCGTTGACCCAATTCACCATCTACCCAGCCCTTTCCCTCCACCCTCCTCTCTTTGGTCTCTGTGAAGCACAATTCTCTCAACTTCAGTGAAATCAACTTTTTTTTCTTTTTTAAACTTGTTGCTATAAAGCTGATGTGCAGGGGGTTATAGTCAGTGACCTAAGTCAGGCAGTGAGTACATTTCTTTTTGGACAATGTCACCCCTTCCTTCACTCTCTCCGTCTAGTGAGTACCCCTTCTGCATTTGTTCATCCTTGGTAACTTGTTTAGAACTATACAAATGAGTGAGATCGTGCTGTATTTGTCTCTTCTGCACCTGGCTTATTTCAGGTAACATGCTGATCTCTGGCTCCATGAATGTCACCCACCACAAAATGACAAGACTGTAATTTTTACTGCTTACTAGTACTCCATCATACACATTTTTTTCATATATCTGGTAGCCATTTTTTAATGTCTCTCTTCTGAAAAATGTCT